CGAGCTCTTCCCGGACTTCGCCGTGCTCGCAGCCATCGCCCTGGCGCTGCCACTGGGCTCCGTCCTGGCCGAGAAGATCAACCGGGGCCGGGAGCTGCTGCAGCGCGGGCGGCCGCGGCGCGGGACGGACGAGGGGCTCTCGGACCTCATGAAGATCGCCATCGACGGCCCGGCCAGCAGCGAGTTCGACTTCGCCTTGGCCATTGAGTACTACGAGAGCGCGAGGGAGCCCGGCTTCATCGTGGCGCAGGTGAAGTGAGGGGAACCATGGCCCTCGGGCACCGGCTCGGTGCTGCCCTTCCCCATCGCTGGGTGGTGACCTGCTCCATGGTGGGAAGAGGAAATGGGATCCTTCCTGCCGGTCCCACATCTCCCCCAAACGCCGAGTTTGAAACCTTGGAGCCACCTGAAACCCCAAACTGCTGAGGTTCAGGAGGATTGATCATCCTTTTCGGTTAGGGAGATGGAGGCAAGCCTTCTCTTGAGCTCAGATGTCACGTTGCCTTTGCACAATGACACCCCGCAGCTTAGACTTAATCCTCTGCAAAACTGTCTGCTTTTTGTTGCTTTGGAGCCTGGAGAATGATGCAGAAAAGGCAAGAGCAGCGTTCCAGCCTGGAATGCCTGGCGGTGCGTGTTGGCATTCCTCGCGCACAGCACAAAGTATTTTTAGCAGTGGCATCAAGTCATGATCATTTCAAGAGCAGGAGATGTAGGGAATGATCTTGTAATCACCGAGGAAATAGTAACTTTGAAATGCATCCTTGTGTATATATGTGTATGTGTGTATATATATACATAAATATGGATAAAGATCTATATTAAAAAGGTCTATCTGAATTTTCCTGGTGCTGAAGGCGCAAAGAGCTCTAAAAGGACTTCTTTTGCCATGTCAGAATAAATGACAAGCAGGGATCCAAAACCAAACAGCAAATCCCGGTCTTTCCAGAGTGTCATCAAGTACCTGCGTTCCCTTTGCCCTCTGAGCGATCTAAACCCAAAGAGTCTTTTACCATCTGCTTTTGGGGCAAACCTGAGCCCTTCAGCTTGTGTTGTACCTTCTGCTCATTGCCTTCACCCTGCAGTGGGCAGGGGCTGCTCTGGGGCCGGGGTCTGGTGCCGTGCATTGGTGTGTCTGGGTGTTGTTCTGGGGCCTCTCTGGTTTTACCTGGGCGGGGATGGCTTCTGCAGCTCTGTTGTGGGGGTGAGAGGGGCCTCTTCTCACTGGTTTCAGTCTGCAGTAAAGCCACTGCAGCAGCCTCGAGCATCACTTGGTTCAATCCGGGGCGCCGGGTCCTCCCGTGGGATTCAGCTCCTCTCCTTCCCTGGGTAAGTTCCCTGTGCTGCAGGCGCAGGTCCATGTCCAGCAGGATTTGACCCCGTTGTCCCTAACACTGACAGTCCCCATTGCCCTCGGGGGTGGTTTGCCGTCTGTCTGACCCGGGGGTACCACGCTGTAGGACACCCGTGCTGGATGGGGTGTCTGGGGGTGTCTCGCAGGCTCCCATGGGCACACTGTGCCCTGTGCCTGTGGTGGAGGCAGGGGAAGCAGGAGCTCTGCCCTCAGGGCTGGCAGCAGGTGACTGCTGATGGCGCAGAGCCCGTGTCCTTCAGCTGGTCCGTCGGGAGGAGATGCTGGTTTGATGGCGAACGTGTTTGGGTGAGAGCTGCTGGCTCCCCAGCATCCCTCCGTTGGGGTATGTGATTCTTGGCGAGCCCTTGCTTGGCAAGGGGGGGGTTTGCTGCTTTCTGTCTTCTGTGCATGAACAGGGGGGAGCCTGTGGCTGTCAAGAGCTGGAAATAGGATTTAACAGGGCGATGCTCACACTGCCCTTATGTTCCCAGGGAGCATGGGCCTGCTGTGGGTGCTGCCTGGAGCAAACCCCCTGTGCTGGGGCAGCCGCAGCATCGCCGTCTCCAGGGCTGGCCCATGGATGCTGAGGTCCAGGTGGGGTTTGCTGGGTCTGGTTGCTCCAGCACGGTGCAAAATGTTTATTAATATGCTTATTAATATATATGAAGCGATAGATTCATAATTAGTATAATATAGATTAATCTATCCATTACTGGTCCGGACCCTGTGCAGCGCTGGTGCTGCTGTGGTGCAGCGTTGGGAGCGGGAGTTGCTCCGCTCCTGGTGGCTGCCTTTGGTGTCGGGAGCTCACTCGTGTTTCCCGGAGTCACCTGGAAAGAGCTGGAATGAATTCAGCCCCTGCTTGGCCAGAGAGAAAAGCTTCAATGCCCTGGGTAAGGAATGCGAGACGCCACCAAAACGCCCTGAGAACACCAACAGCCAGGGAGGGAGCCAGGCTGCTTCCATGGGAATACAGCGCTCCCGTCTCCATCTGTCCCGGGCAGACTCCGCACCAGATGCTCTTCGGAGGCAGCCGGCGTCTGCGGAGATGGGTCCTTGGCAGATGCTCGTGTTGGTACGAAAACACCCTGCGTTGTCGCTGCTGCTTCTTGGAGGCTCACACGTACGTGGGGCTGGAGCACAACAGTTGCTCTGATCTGCTCACAGGCAGCCTGGGAAACGATGCTGCAGGCGTGTGTGTGGGGTGAAGAGGGGGGCACAGGCTGGAGATAAGAGGCAGGCATGGTCCTGGGTGCGCTGGGTTAAATGAGGGACTGAAACAGCGCTTTCATTCCAAGGGACCCCTCCAGGAGTGTGTACGAGCGGGATGGGAACTGGGCTGAGCTTCAGAGGGCTGGGAAGGGGCTGAGCTGGTGGCTGTGGCCTGAGCTGCAGGTAGAGGATGTGGCACCACAGAGGTGATGCTGTGTGGTTTGGGGTCTCGGTTAAGAGCGTGTCCCCTCCCTGTGCTCCATGGGGCGCTGGGAGCACAGAGCTCCTTCACTCCCCTCTTTACCCCAGCCCTTCAACACGCACCGTGGAGGCCCGAGAGCATCCTGTCCACAGGGGGATGGAAAAGGGCAGAGGATGGCCCCATGCTGGAGCTGTGCGCCGAGCATCTGGGGATGCCATTCACTGGCAAAGCCCACGCTGCCGGGGCCATGCCCGTCACCTCGGGTAAGGTCGTGTCATCCTATACAGACCTGGTGGCCCTGCCACTGTCCCCAGAGCAAATCCCCTTAATTCAGCATCTAATTAATACCTAAAAATACAGCCCGCAGCTGCTGGCGGAATGTGCCCTGCAGCAAAGGTAAGGCAGGAGCTGCAGTGCTGCTGCCCCATAACCTTGGGGAGGTGCCTCAAGAGCATCGTGTCCTGGCGGGTGCCTGAGCACATTGATGCTATGGAGGCTTTCAGCCCTTTTCCTGCTCCCTGGCTCTTGTTTACAAGGTCCTGCCCCCTCCGCAGGGTCCTGTCTGGGGTCTCTGGGCTCTCTGATGCCTTATTTTACCCCTGGACCGCAGGAATATGGTTAATGCCCAAATCTGCGCTCAAGGACGCACCAGGGCTGTTGGTGTATCTCATCCTGACCATGTCAGTGAGCAGTGGCCATCCCCGTGTCTGCACGTGTGCCCCACCACTCCCAGCTCCTAAAGGGCAAAGCCCTTGGCTGTGGGGCAGCAGCCAGGATTTCCTACTGGCATGGTGGCATTGGCTGAGCTACAACCCCCCTTTATTCGGTTGCTGTTGATGGGAGTGGAGGCATTCCCCCGCCCCTTTGATCCTCCAAGTGGTAAATGCAATGTATATCATATATATACATGTAGTATATTATATACATGTTATATTACGTATATATCATATATATGTCTATTTCTGAAGCTGGTGCAGTCAGTGCAGGGCATGCTGAGGAAGGTGGAGGGGGGGACACCCCAACCCTCCAGCCCAAGATGCCTCCATTGCAGCTGCTGCTTGCGCTGGGTTGCAGCTTGAGCATCCCTGAGGCCGGAGCATCCCTGGGGCCGGAGCATCCCTGGGGCCGGAGCATCCCTGGGGCCGGAGCATCCCTGGGGCCGGAGCATCCCTGGGGCCGGCTCTGCCGTTTCGGGTGCTTTGGTGCAGAGCTGCTGTTTCCCAGCCCCAGTTCTGCCCCGGCTCCCTCCCCGCTTTCCCGTCTCTGTTTGCAAGCAGTTTCCCAGATTCCCCTCCTGGGCGGCTCTGGAATTAACGCGATCAGCGCACGCCTCATGGAGCGCAAGGGGATTTTCCCCTGGAGCGAGGCCTGACCCGGGGCCGCTCCGGAGCCGTGTGCGCTCTCCCAGAAGGAGGTCGGAGCTGCCCAGGGGCGAGCGCCCGCTGCTCGCATCCACGGTGCTTTCTGCACTTTGCATTTCAGAGCTGGGGCTCGGCTCCTGCTTGGAGCAAATCCCTGCAGGGAGGCAGCTCCGAGGCGCTGCGGAGCGGGGTCCTCATCCTGCACTGCCGGTGTGGGGCGGGATGGGCCGAGCCCCGCTGATTGCGGCTCCTGGTGTGGGAGCACTGACCCTCGAGGCACTGCTGTGGGCACGGGGCTGGGATGCTGCCGGGCTCCACCGCTGCTCCTGAGCCGAAAGAGAACCCAGGGATCAGAAAATAGGGGTACCCAGAAGCGCCGTGCCCTTGGTGCAGTGGGCTGGAGGAGGAGTGAAGCCGTGCGAGATGTGAACGAGCGTTCCTGGCTCCCAGCACCGTGAAATCTTCTCTTCTTTATAGGATTTTACTCTTTCCGCTGTGTGCTTTCACGTTCTCCCCTCTCGGAGCCGGGCACAGGCGCAGGAGCCCAGCCTGGGCCCCACCACGGCTCAGAGGCTGCTCTCCCGCAGTGGGATGGAGAAATCCAAGTGGGAAACCGCTGCCCTCCGGCTGCGGAGCGGGAGGAAGCACTGGGATGGGGAGCAGGCTGGGACAGGTCCCCGCTGCGTGGCCTCCCCTCCCTCCAGGGGTGCACACCTCACCCTCACACGCTTGCACCCGGGATGCTGGTTCTGAGCCCAAAAGGGAGAACATGGCCAGGGCTGGGACCTTCACCTACAGGGGGGCCGGAGCCTCATGGCCCCCCCCCAGCTGCACCACCGCTAACGCTGCTCTCTCCCCTCTGCCTGCCCAGGTCCCTCCGGACACAGCAGCCCCCTCTTAGCATCGTTGCCTATCCCCGGCCGTCCCCTCCATCCCCCCTTGGACATCAAGCACTTTCTGACCTTGAGGCTCAACGGGACGTCACCGCTCAACCTCTTCCCCAACTTCAACACGGTGAGTCCGTCCCCCCCCATAGATGTAACACGGTTTTAACCACGACCAATTCGATTTTGCTGCTGGAATCAATAGCAATGAAGGAGCTCTGGAGAGCAGTTTGTTAGCTGCAAATAAGAGAAGGAAAGAAAGAGCTGTATAAAGACACAAGGCTGCTGCTGTGTGGCTGCGGATGTGGGGTCAGCCTCGGTGCTGTGGGTCTTTTCCCACCACCCAGTTGGGCTCAAGGTCCCCAGCCTCAAACTACTGGACCCCGTGCTTGGGTTATGCCATTCAATGTGGCCTTAGTGATGTTCTGGTTGACATCTAAACTGACGTGGATGGGACCAAGGATGTACAACAGCATCTCAGCAGTGAAATGGTGCTTCCCTTGCTTGGTGCCACTCTCCCGGCACTCTTCCCGATGGGAAGGATGGGATCCGCCCCAGGAGCCCCTCTCTTGCCTTGCTTTGGGTCCCTGTGCTGCTGTTCCACTGCAGCAGTGGGGTGGCTGTTCCTGGGTTTGGTCGATGCTCCCTCCCTGGCCTCTTGTAGGTGGCTTTGGGGTTAAACATGCTTGGAAGGTGCAAATTATCACTGAGATCCTCAAAGGCGAGCACAGAAATGAAGTCCAGGGTTCCCGGTTGCTGTGGAATGGGATGCAGACATCCAATTCCTTTGAGCTCTTTTGAAAGCCCAGCTCTGGCCTGTCCCTCCCCTGTGCTAACCAGCAGAAACACAGGCGAGGAGGGGGTTTCTGATGCCATCAGGGTGCTGCTCTTTGGGCTCTTTCTGCCCTCGCTGGAGGCAGCAGCTGAGCGGAACCAGGCCCTGCTCTTTGCTCTCCAGGGCTCCCACCTGCCCCTGGCACGTGTTCTCTAGGGCTGGGCTGCTTCAGGACCCGGGTCCCTTGGGAAATGAACCTCGTGCCCTGGCTGGGGCCGCCCGGCCCCGTTGTGGTGCTGCTGTGCTCAGTGGGGACCCCGGCATGAGGTGCCGGGGGTGTCAGGTTGGGTGCTGTTACCTGGGTGAAGCCAGGCTGGTCCCCAGGGTGGGAACTGCTCCTGGGGCTGTGTCTGTGCTGGAGGGGCAGGAGCATCCCTGCGGCTCCTCGGTTCTCTGCTGATGCCAGGTCAGAGGCTCCATCGGGCAGCTGAGCCTCAGGGGCGATTTGGGAGGGGGCATCCATCAGGGGATGTCACGGTTTGAGAGAGCTGCTGGATCCGAGGTGCTGTAAGAAGATATCAGTGGGTTTGCCTGGCTCACCCAGTGCTGCCGTGCAGGAATTGGTGTTGCCGTGCAGGGTTCGGCGATGCCGTGCAGGATTCGGTGCTGCCGTGCAGGATTTGGTGCTGCCGTGCAGGATTTGGTGCTGCCGTGCAGGAATTGGTGTTGCCATGCAGGATTCGGCGATGCCGTGCAGGATTCGGAGATGCCGTGCAGGATTCGGAGATGCCGTGCAGGATTCGGAGATGCCGTGCAGGGTTTGGTGATGCCGTGCAGGGTTTGGTGATGCCGTGCAGGGTTTGGTGATGCCGTGCAGGGTTTGGTGATGCCGTGCAGGGTTTGGTGATGCCGTGCAGGGTTTGGTGATGCCGTGCAGGGTTTGGTGATGCCGTGCAGGGTTTGGTGATGCCGTGCAGGGTTTGGTGCTGCCGTGCAGGATTCGGTGCTGCCGTGCAGGATTCGGTGCTGCCGTGCAGGATTCGGTGCTGCCGTGCAGGATTCGGTGATGCCGTGCAGGGTTCGGTGATGCCGTGCAGGGTTTGGTGCTGCCGTGCAGGATTCGGTGATGCCGTGCAGGGATCGGTGATGCCGTGCAGGGTTCGGTGATGCCGTGCAGGATTCGGTGATGCCGTGCAGGATTCGGTGATGCCGTGCAGGATTCGGTGATGCCGTGCAGGATTTGGTGCTGCCGTGCAGGATTCAGTGATGCCGTGCAGGATTCGGTGCTGCCATGCAGGATTTGGCGATGCCATGCAGGATTCGGCCCTACCATGCAGGATTTGGTGCTGCCATGCAGGGTTCAGTGATGCTGTGCAGGATTCGGCTATGCCATGCAGGATTTGGCATTGCCCTGCAGGGCAGGAGCAGTTTGCAGCTGCCCAGCAGAACACTTTGCACTTGGAGCAGGTCACAAGGCTCTCATGAACCCAGCAGATGTTTTACTCTGCAGCACATGAAACCTTTCCAGGCCGAGCTCTGCTGCCACTTAAAGCAATGACAGCAGGAACCCCAAACCCCACCGCAACGCAGAAGGCGCCTTTCTTGCCCAAAAGGTCCTTTGCAGCTCTTGGGATGTCGCAAAGGTGCCAAGCGCATGGCAGAGCCTCGACAGGAGACACGATCCGAAGCGACGCTGCGTTTCTGACCTCAGTGCCAGCAGGGAGCTCAGTGCAGGGAGCTCTATTTATATCCCTAAGAACATCCAGGGATAAATAAAGTCGTGTGAGTCAATGAGAATTGACCACAAAGCTGAGATCTCCCTTCTCCAAGCGTGCGGTGCCCAGAGCCTGCCTCTGCTGTCGGGACAGATCTGTTGGAGAAGGCAGGAGGAGCTGGAACCGACCCGGCTGTGGCACAGCCCTCACCGGCCTGGGCAGAGCTGGGATCTGGTGCTGCAGTGAGTGCACATGTGGGGAGAAGCTGATGTTATGTTTGTGTTTTCATTGGGAGAGAGGCACAGGGTGGTACCCGAGCTTGGGATGCTCTTGGTGCTGTGTGCGGGATGGAGCCCGGTGGGATGCTCCCGGTAAAGCACCGTGTGTGTGATGGGGCCGTGGCAAGGGGTTGTTCGAGCCCCCATGTGCTCCCAAAGGCTTTTGAGGACACGGAGCTTGTGTTCGCTGCGGGGTAGCAGGAGCAGTGATGCTCACCAGCCGCCCTTGGCTGGGATGTGCGGGGCTGGGGCGAGGAGCCAGGTTTTGGGTGGCCTGGGCAATGCGGCCCCTGGAGTCACTCAGTCGTGGCCTCGGTGCTGGTGGCTTCATTGGCAGGTTCAGACCAGGACAGTTCCAGTTGCACCCTCCTCATCCTCTGCATCCTCCTCTGCTCAGGGGGCAGTCGGGTCCAGGACCCAGCCAGGCCCTGCTCAGAGCCTTTTCCCTTCTCTTTGGGTGGAAGAGGTGGGTGAACACAAGCCCCCGTGTCTGCCTGCAGCCGGGCAGCGCAGGGATGCTGCCTGCAGCACGCGTCAGTGGCTGTCGTCAGGGGTGCGGAGCAGCATCTTTGCCATCTGTAGCTTCCTCCGGGTCTCCGCCGAACCCCAAACGCCTCTTCATTTCTATGCCAGACAAGCCAGCTGAATTCCATGGCAAAGAGGCGCTTCATTAATCACCGGCTTTTACCATTCCGCTCACTCCTGGGAAGGAATTTGGGGTCTCGATAATGGCTCCGTTGTCCAGGCATGTGCCTCGAAGACGGATGCACCTGTCTCAGCAGCGAAATAGCTCTGCAGAGAAACACGATCGCCTGCAAACCCCGGGCTCTGCTGACAGCAGCACTCAGATAAGATAATCTTCCTATGCCGCAGCACAGGGGAACAATAGTTGCATTGTAGATTAGAGCCCCGCTCAGACAAAGAGGTTATTCTTATTCCCCCCCCCTCCCTTAATAACTGCATTGGGTTTGAAACAATCATGGCTTTCGGGGCAAGTTTGCTGCCGGGGCTGAGGAATGAGGCCGAGCCCTGGAGAGGGGCAGAGGAGCCAGGGGCTGTCAGCAGCTCATCAGCCTGCACGCATCCGCCTCGCCTGCAGCCCCTGCATGGGGATGACGCAGCTCGTGTCGGGTAACTGCGCTCGTGCCCCATGGGGAACCAGGGCTGCATCAGCCTTGCACTTCCATGTGAGAGCAGGCAAAGTGCGTACCCGAGCGGGAGCAGGGCACGGGGCAGTGGGTACCTTGTCCCTCCTGCCCCGCTCCCTCTGTGTGCACTGTCCATGGGTAAGGACCATGCACCCGTGGCTCCGCTTGCACCTTCAGCTTTGCACGGGGATGTTCAGCTCCCTGGGGATGGGCACGTGGAGGCTTCCTGGGTGCCCCCCGTGATCTCTGCCCCCTGGTTCAGTGGTTTCTGCTCCTGCATTGGCAGCTCCAGGGCAGCAACCGGGGGCTCAGTAATCTGCCACCCGTGACACCGGTGTCTGTGATGGGGGAGAGGGGATGGGGGACACGCAGGGGAGCTTGGTGAGGCTGCAGCCTGTGCCCCTGCAGCGGCCTCGTCCCCCCACCAGGCCACAGCAGGCATTTGGTCCCTGCAGGTTGGGTTTATCCAGGGATGGTTTAGGAAGGCTCCTCGGCAGCGCCAGCGCTCCCTCCGAACGGGAGCTCTGCTGGTGTTTATGGCACGGGGCATCACCAGTTCACCGTGCCGGGGTGGCCATCACCGCACGGCACCCATGCAGCCTGTGCCCTCGCTCCCTTGCAGATGGACCCGGTGCAGAAGGCGGTGATCAGCCACACGTTCGGCGTGCCCGCGCCGCTCAAGAAGAAGCAGTTCATCTCCTGCAACATCTGCCACCTGCGCTTCAACTCTGCGGTAAGTGGTACCCACGGGAGCATCCCATGGTGGGGAGCATCCCATGGTGGGGAGCATCCCATGGTGGGGAGCATCCCATGGTGGGGAGCATCCCATGGTGCAGGAGCATCCCATGCTGCGGGAGCATCCCATGGTGGGGAGCATCCCATGGTGCAGGAGCATCCCATGGTGCAGGAGCATCCCATGGTGGGGAGCATCCCATGGTGGGGAGCATCCCATAGTGAGGAGCATCCCATGGTGGGGAGCATCCCATGGTGGGGAGCATCCCATGGTGCAGGAGCATCCCATGGTGCAGGAGCATCCCATGGTGGGGAGCATCCCATGGTGGGGAGCATCCCATGGTGGGGAGCATCCCATGGTGTCCCATGGTGGGGAGCATCCCATGGTGGTGGGGGAGCATCCCATAGCATCCCATGGTGCAGGAGCATCCCATGGTGCAGGAGCATCCCATGGTGCAGGAGCATCCCATGGTGGGGAGCATCCCATGGTGGGGAGCATCCCATGGTGCAGGAGCATCCCATGGTGGGGAGCATCCCATGGTGGGGAGCATCCCATAGTGAGGAGCATCCCATGGTGGGGAGCATCCCATGGTGCAGGAGCATCCCATGCTGTGGGAGCATCCCATGGTGGGGAGCATCCCATAGTGAGGAGCATCCCATGGTGGGGAGCATCCCATGGTGGGGAGCATCCCATGGTGCAGGAGCATCCCATGCTGCAGGAGCATCCCATGCTGTGGGAGCATCCCATGGTGGGGAGCATCCCATAGTGAGGAGCATCCCATGGTGGGGAGCATCCCATGGTGGAGGAGCTCCTCGGGGCTCTGCCCGCTGACATCCCCATCCCATGGGCCCAGGCGCTCCCCTCTTTGCCCCCCTGGCTCTTTCTGCTCCATCTCGTTTTGTCCCCTCCTGCCTTGTCCTCAGTGTTTGAGCTTAAGCTGCTTTATCAGCCCCTGCAAGTCATGTCTGCTCTGTAGGAGCTGAACAGAAGCCTTGGCTTCCCAGAGTGCTGCTGTGGCAGGGGGTTTGGGTTTTAACTCGCAGCCAAGTAAATCGACCACCTTGTAGAGGGGAGGAAGGAGGCATCCACTGATCCCTGTGGTAATGAATTGAGCACAGCTGATCGTTTGTGGGGAAAGTGATAAAGAGCCAGCAGGAGAGGGATGGGGTTTGCAGGCAGCAGGGCTGGAACAGCAAAAGCCTCCTTTGCATGGCCAGCAGCTCGGAGCCCTTCGGCTGGGCTGGCTCTGCTTGTACTGGTGCAATCCCATCTGCTCCCATGAGCACGGCAGCAGGGAGGATGGAGGCATGTCCCCCCAAGGACCCTCATGCTCCACTTGGGCTCCTGCATGGTGCCAGTGACCCACTTCAGCTGCAGCCTCAGCCCCCTATCTGCTGGAGGTTCATTGTGTTTGCTAATGAGGCCCCATGCTCGGATGGGCCTTTTGCTTTCCCATGTACCCAGCGCATCCCTGACACCATTCCCAGCCCTTGGAAAGCCATGGGGGCAGGGAAGGGGATGCTTCTTCCCAGCCCACATGGGAAGCCCCAGCCGGGCTCCGAGGACGCCGTGCCGATTCATCCGTGCTTCTCCGTGGTTCAGGGGTTCCATTCATCCCGCATTGACCTCCCACCAGCTGCTGGAGCGAGGACGCAAGTGTCGGGGTGCTTCTCCTTTGTGCTCGTCTTTATGGGCTCGGCGCAGGCAGGAGCCCCTCGCCGTGCACTTCCCGATGCAGCAAAGGATGCTGTGACTGCAGATCGCGTGTCAGACACCCGCTGGGGTCCAATGGGAGACACGGCCTCCCCCCCCCTCAAACCCCAGCCTACTTTCTCGGTTTATTTTTGCAGCCAGCAGCTCGCTGGCTGTGTCTGAAGACATCAAATGTGCTTTTAGCAGCCGCCTGACGCCTTTCACCGCATCCTTCCCTCGGCCCCAGTGCTTGTGTGCTTACACCGGGGTGGAAAACACCCCCGTGGTTGTCACCAAGGGGAGGTGGCAACGCATCCCAGCATCCGCCTGCGTGTCCTCATGTGTCCCTCTCCTCTCTCCCTGCCAGAACCAGGCAGAAGCCCACTACAAGGGCCACAAGCACGCACGGAGGCTGAAAGCCATCGAGGCCATGAAGAACAAGCAGAAGGTGCCGGGGGCTGCGGTGGTTGATTTGTCCCCCAGCCCCGAGGGCAGCGGGGAGCCCGGCACCGCGGGTACGTGGGCATCGGTGCGGCACAAATGCCACCGCGAGCGTTGATAAAGGAGCTTTTGTGCTCTGCTGGCATCCCTGGCTTGGGGGCGGCTCATGGGGAAGGGGTGGAAAAGGCATCCCTGGAGCCCTGTGGGTGCTTCCCCCCTGATTTGGTGTCTGTGGGAGGTGTTTTGGATGCTGCAGGAGAGGCCATTCCCTGCCTGTGCTCGCGCATCCCTAGGGCAGGGATGGGGCTGGTAGGAGCCACGTTCCCCCTGCACCCAGGGTCCTGTGCTGAGCCCGGCTGCCCCATAAAAGCACTAACAGGAGAGACCTTGGGAAGAGCCATCCTCGAGAGGGGTGAATGAGCAGATGGTGCCTGAGGTGGTTTTGGGAGGACAGGGATGCTCCCTGAAACATGGAAAACCCATTGGGGCCCAGAGCACTTTCCCTTCCTGCCCATAACCTCCCTTTTCCCTCCCCAGCCCAAGCCAACGGGCTGCAGGAGCCGGAGGGTGAGTGCAGCACCCTGGGGCTGACACCCAGCAGCGAGGAGTCGCCATCGGAGCTGCCGGGCAGCATCGCCCCATTGGGCTCCCCCCCGGCCTCGGAGCTGTCGGAGGCCACCTCGGACACCACGAGCGTGACCTCCCCGGGCACCGAGGTGCAGGCAGCAGAATCAGGCAGCAGCAGCAGCGGCAGCTTGGCCCCCGAGAGCGAGAAGGAGGGCAAGAAGAGCAAGCAGCACCTCTACTGCCCCACGTGCAAAGTGACCGTCAACTCCCTGTCCCAGCTGGAGGCTCACAACACCGGTAAGGGCATCGCCCGCGTGCGGGGGGGACCCCAGCTCCATCCTGGCCCCCCGTCACCACGCAGCCTGGCAGGTTAATGAAGGTTGCTTCAATTAGAAAGGGTCAATGAAGGCGCGTGCAAAGAGAAGTGGTGGTGTTCTACCTGCGCGGTGGTGGCTCGTGGGGTGAGTTGTAGCAAGGTCAAACGCTCTCTTGTTGTTCACGGCTCTTAATTAAAGGCATTTCCAGATAGGTTTAATCAAGTGATTGGAGGCTGCTTTATATTCCATTGCAGCCTGGCTTTAGGCTGGTAGGAACCGGAGTGCCCGTGCCGCTTCCAGACCCAGGATAATCTGAAAGCAGTGCTTTGGGCTCGTGGTCGGTTTGAGAGGCCCCTTGGGAATCCAAACACGCTTCAGAGCCCAGCAGCAAGTGATGGCTCCTGGGCTTACAGGGATGCCCAGGCCCCCCCCGGGGCAGTGGTGGGAGGCAGCAACCCCAATGGGGTCTCTGGTGCCAGCTCCCAGCTCCCCCCTTTCCCCGGAGGATGCTACACAAGGTGGGGGGGGGGGTACCACAGCTGTAAAGGGAAGAGCCTCTTGTCCCCCAGATCACACAAAGTGAGGACCAGCTCCCATGGCCTCCCTGCGCACGGCAGCAGCGCTGAGCACCGGGGTCAGCTCAGGACGCGCCATGGCTGAGCTGCAGCCGTGCCCTTTTGCTTCTGTCAGCTCCAGTTACGAATTCAGGAGCTGATTTGGGTAAAGAACAAGCAAAGCAGCAGTTTTCAGGGCCGAGCTGCTCCGCACCCATCCCATGCACCCGGGCTCCTTGCTTAACGCCTTGAGAAACAGAATGAATTAGCGGAGGCTTGAATTACGCAGCCCTTTGCTGCCATTCCCAGGACAGGGCGCCCCATCCATGGCGTGTGGGGATCTCAGGTCCCTCCTTCCCCCCTTCCCATCACCCCACTGAGCTATTCCTGGCTCTGCGGCCGGATCCTCTCTGACCTTGGGCGCAGCTCAGATGCTGCAGCACAGTGGGCGACAGCTCCAGCCTGTGCTAACGCCCGGGGACAGGCGCCAGGCTCCAGCACACGCTCCACATAGCAGCTTCTCCGAAGGGCTGGCATTGGAGGGGGGTCTCTGGGAAGCGGAGCATCTCTGGGCTGCCTGCGGAGCGCAGCTGGCTATGGAGCCTGGCAGGGTTTGGGAATGGGCGGCTGCATCCCCGGCACGAGGCCAGGCTCCTCTGCCTGCAAGTGCTGCTGGGGATAGGTTGGGGGGCACTGGGGAGGGCGCAGCGCTGTGGGGTGGCTTGGTTGGGGGGCACCCGTGGGGCACGCGGGTTTGTTTGCCAGGTCAGGGTTTGCCGAGTGTCCCCTCTGCTGCCCAGGTGCCAAGCACAAGTCCATGCTGGAGGGTCACGGCACCCAGATGCGGCGAGGCCGAGGCAAGCTCCTCTCCCGGGCAGGGCACAAGTCCAAGCGGATCGGGAACAAGGGCAGCATCAACATCCAGAACAAGGCGTTTCACTGCCAGGTGTGCGAGATCTACGTCAACTCGGAGACGCAGCTCAAACAGGTGAGGACGCCAGGCCTGGGTGAGCCTTTCCCATGGGAATGCGGGGACACCGGGTGCAGGATACAGACCCCAGGGCTCAGGGGTGGGTTCCTCACTGTCCCCTGCAAGGTGATGCACGTCCCTCATGGGTCCCATGCAGTGCCATGGGTCTGCCCTCATCCTGGCTCTGGCTGACCCGGTTGTTCTCCTCTCCCAGCACATGAGCAGCCGGAGGCACAAAGACAGGCTGGCGGGGAAGCCACCCAAGCCCAAGTACAGCCCCTATAACAAGCTGCAGAAGAACGCTGCCCTCGCAGTGAGTATTCTCAAGGTATCTGTCTCCCTGCAGTGACCTGCTTGGTTTGCTCTCCGAACCATCGGTTGCCATCGCTTGCGATAAGAGACACAGGGGCTGCTTTTCCTAAAGCCTCAGTTCCCATAATCACACCTAAGCTGCTCCCCTTGGCTGGCTGTAGTGGTGGGAAAGGTTTTGAGGAAAAGGAAAGCTTGGGAATAGCTTGGGAGCCCTCTGGCAGCAGCACTTGTGATTGTTTCATGGTTCCTGGCTGGGTGCTGGCACAGCTCGGTTAAACCAGGCCCAAGTGTTTGCTTGCTCGGATCCAGAGCTTAGCAGAAGTCAGGGCACTGATGCAGGGAAGAACCCAGTGTGTGCAAAGGCCAGGGCAGGTCTCTGAGCCAGCGGGATGGGGCTGGGAGCCTTCCCAGGGTCACAACTGGAGCATCCCGGTGTGCTCTGACCCAGGAGCAGCCGAGCCAAAGGGCCGGAGCTGTGGGATGGAGCAGGGACAGGGAAACGGGGCTGCATTCACCTGCATTCAGACCGAGCTGAAAGCCGTGGTGGATGGGGCTGGGGACCTGCCCAGGGTCACAGCTGGAGCATCCCGGTGTGCTCTGACCCGGGAGCAGCCGAGCCGAAGGGCGGGAGCCGTGGGATGGAGCAGGGACAGGGACAGGGGTTGCATTCACCGCAGAGACCGAGCTGAGAGCCGCGGTGGATGGGGCTGGGGACCTGCCCAGGGTCACAGCTGGAGTATCCTGGTGTGCTCTGACCCGGGAGCAGCCGAGCCAAAGGGCCGGAGCTGTGGGATGGAGCAGGGATAGGGGTTGCATTCACTGCAGAGACCCAGCTGAAAGCCGTGGTGGATGGGGCTGGGGACCTGCCCAGGGTCACAGCTGGAGCATCCCGGTGTGCTCTGACCCGGGAGCAGCCGAGCCGAAGGGCCGGAGCCGTGGGATGGAGCAGGGACAGGGGTTGGGGCTGCGTTCACCTGCATTCAGACCGAGCTGAGAGCCGCGGTGGATGGGGCTGGGGACCTGCCCAGGGTCACAACTGGAGCATCCCGGTGTGCTCTGACCCGGGAGCAGCCGAGCCAAAGGGCCGGAGCCGTGGGATGGAGCAGGGACAGGGGCAGGGGCTGCGTTCACCGCAGAGACCGAGCTGAGAGCCGCGGTGGATGGGGCTGGGGACCTGCCCAGGGTCACAGCTGGAGCATCCCGGTGTGCTCTGACCCGGGAGCAGCCGAGCCAAAGGGCCGGAGCTGTGGGATGGAGCTGGGACAGGGGTTGCATTCACCGCAGAGACCCAGCTGAAAGCCGTGGTGGATGGGGCTGGGGACCTGCCCAGGGTCACAGCTGGAGCATCCCGGTGTGCTCTGACCCGGGAGCAGCCGAGCCGAAGGGCGGGAGCCGTGGGATGGAGCAGGGACAGGGGTTGCATTCACCGCAGAGACCGAGCTGGGAGCCGCGGTGGGCCGGGGGGGCCGGGGGCTCACGGTGATGTGCCCTCCCTGCCCGCAGTCCAAGCTGGCCCTGCAGAAGCACCTCACCAAGACGCTGGCAACGCGGTTCCTGCCGAGCCCGCTGGCCGCGGTGTGCGCCATGCCCGGGCCCCTGGCGCTGCGCCCCGCGGCTGCCACCGCGCTCTTCCAAGCGCCGCTCCTCGGACCGGCCCTTTTCCGCACGCCGCCGGCCCCGGTTCGCCCCACACCGGGCCCCATCGTCTTTGCACCCTACTGAGAGCCGCCGCTGCGGGGCCGTGGCTGCGCGGCGGGGCTGCCCCGGGACCGCTGCTCTTCCAGCTGGTGGGAAAACGTAGTCGTAGACACCGACCCCGGCTTCTCCTTCGCTTCCAGCGGGCTCCTGCTCGGAGCCGATGCCCCGGCAGAGCCCAGCCGGCCCCGCCGCGCGTCCCCGCCGCTCCCCTGCCCGTGCTGGGCGCACAACAGAGGAGCCCTTCCCAAGGCTGAGCACAGGAGAGGAGGGTGCCCGGCTCACCGGGACCATTGCGTGGCCAAGGGGCTCGCTGGCTTCGTGTTCATCCCCTTCCCAGTTACCAGGCTGGAAGAGGAGGAGCCGGCTGGTCCCCGAGGGAAGGAGCATCCCTCTGGCCAGCCCAGCAGGAAGGGAGCTGCGAGGGGAGCCTCAGCCCAGCTCTTACTGCATGAAAAACCCCAGCACAAGTGGGAAGTTGGCAGTTCCCCCCTCGGGCAGGGCTGGCTGTGCCCTCACCAGCCCCGCACTTGCCTGTGCTGGCTGGGGGCGTTCCGTGATGCCCACCAGCCTCCTACACCCCGAACTTCACGTCCCACCAGCCAAAGAGCCATCGCTGTGGCGGGCACCGGCTCCACCGCCCGTATCTTCACTCCAAGAGCAATAGCTGATGCCCAGGGCCGGCGCCTCATCCCTTGGAAAGCACATTGCCCGGCCCCGGGAAGCACGGAGCGTGTGCGGGTCCCGGTGCTCAGCACCAGCTCTTTGCCTCTGTCCCACCTGCGGGGGACAGCCCTGCCCCTACCTCCCGGGAGATGCTGTGAGGCTGAGTGAATGTCCCTAAAGCACTTTTGGTTCTCCAGTGAAAGGCAACGCTGCTGCCTTCCAACCCCGTTCCCATTAGGAGCTTCCAGGGAGTTACGGATGATTCCCAAACCCCAAGCTGTCCCCAGCAGCCCGGACAATCAGGTACAAAGGAGCAGGCGGCACCCAGTGATGCTCCCATCGTAGCCTGCAGGAATCTGGGCTCCGGAGGGACCCCGAAGCCGTAGCTCTGCTTTTCACTGTGCTCACAAAGCCCAGCGGTGGGTGACGTGGTTTGGAGCTGGACCCGCGGCTCCGGGTTCCCGGCACGCTGCTGCAAACGGAAATATGCAGGAAAGTTGCAACCCAAACAGCCCCAAGGCTGGAGTGAAACCCACCCCATCTATGCAATCCAGGGGAGCAGCTCGCCCTCGCTCTGCGTTTACCTCGGTGCTGATGCTGACTGTGCACCCAGAGCAGAACCACCACGGTGCAGCTCCGTGCAGGTGATTCCCTCCCCGTGCCCTGGCCCAGGGTGATGGCTCAGGTCTCTGCTGTGGCCCCATGGGAAGAGGCAGGTGGGTCTGTGCACCTGGGAACCCACACGCACAAAACGTGCATCCGACACCCCGGCCAGGAGCAATGTCTGGATTTCGGGATCTTTCCTCCACTGATGCTCAGGACGGGTCCTAGCAATGGGAAGTGAATGGGAACCGGCCAACGGGTAACTCAAGGGGCTGCAGTGCTTCTGCTGCCCAGAGCTGGAGCTTCGCACGAGGGCAGGAAACCTGCAGAGGGAGCACGGAGCTGTGCACCTGCATCTGCCATGGGCAGCACTGAGCCCTGGTGCCACTGCACCCTGCCACGGAGGACAGGAGCACGAGGGAGCCCCTGGGTATGGATTCATCTGCTCAGGACAACTCTCCACAGCAGAGGAGGAGGAGAGCGGAGAGGGCACCAGAGAAGAGCGAGCTTGAATGGAAGGTTGGGGGTAGAGACAACCGCGAGCTCTTACAGCGGTGATGGGAGATGTGGCTCGAGGAAGGCTCCAGCAGCACAGGCCCTGGCAGAGACAGGAGATGGTCGCACAGCCCAGGGGACACGTGCAGCCCGCAGGGCAGGAGGGAGGACACGGCTCCCACCGCATCGCAGTGCCAAGCAGGCCGTGGCTCCAGCCCTCCCCTGCTCACCTCCCCGGGCTCTGCCCCAGGCTGGTCCCCATCAGCCCTGGCTGCAGCAGAGGGGGACAGCGCGGCCCCATCGGTGCCCTCCAGCCTGCAGGAGCCATTGGACACTGGGGGGGTCGTTCCCCTACCTTTTGTTCTCTAACAGGCCTGTGCTGGAGCCAGCAGCGCCTGCTCAGTCACACCCCCCCCCAGTGGAGTCCTGATACACTCCTCTACTTGGCACTTTAACCCTTGAAAGCCATTCCTTCTAATAACAATAATACTGCAATGAGAAACCCCCCCTTCTACCGTGTCCCCAAACCCCCCCAGCCCCCTGCTCCTGTGCTATCCAAAGCATTTACTGCCTTTGACTTAGCATATGCTGTACTAGGTTGTAGGGCATAGTCCATAGCGCTCGATACCGTGTGCCCCTCTGTACATAACCTTGGAGTGATGTGAACAGTTTGATTCGAACAAACAAAGCCCCCCCCTCCCCAAATGGAATAAGCAGACTCTAGGGACTTGGCCAGTACCCCTCCTGTAATGTTCATTGTATATTTTTTTGATGTACTATAACTGTTGGGGAAAAAAAAAAAAGGAAAATATTTTGATAACTGAAGCTCATGGCTTTATTGTGTTACTCAGTCAATAAAAGGAACAAGTACAAACAAGCCAGCGTGCTCTTGTCACTGGTGTTTCCCTCCATCCACCCTCGCCGAAGGGAACACGTGTTGCTGGGCAGGACCAGGCCACCTTTGCTTCGTCTTGTGGTGGTTCTGAGGTGAGTGAGCACTGTGAGGATGGGCAGTGAGAGCCCCAGGCACCAGGGTGTGCAGGCAAAGCACAGTCCCAGCTTCGCCAAGGTCATGACTGAGTCTGCACTCAGTGTGCAGTGTGGTGGATGTGAGCACCCTGCCATCGGGAACAGCATCCTGCCACTGGGCAGGATGCCTGAACAGTCCTGCACGTCAAGGAGCAGTGGGAACTGCCGGGTAAGTGGCGATCTGCCGGGGACCACCACCGAGCTGGCTGGGGTGGAGCCGGAGGCAGGGCCAGCAAACGGGCTCTTCTCACATGGTATCAGTACAACAAACCAGAGCAGCTCAAGGGAGGGGATTGTGTCCTCAGGCCGGCTGCTATCCCCACCTGCCGGCCAGCCCCGTGCTCTGCTCCCTCAGCAGCCTATGGTACCCACGGAGCATCCCTCCGTGAAGCCTGGCTTTCCTGTGCCGCCTCCAACACCTGCATGGGAGGGATGTGCAGAGAGCAGGCCTTGTCCCAGTGCAGGGAGATGGCTCCCCTCTCATCCTCAAAGGCCATCCCCAGCCCTGGGATGCATGTTCCTTGTGCCACTGCGCTTCCCGCAGGCTCCGTGACACCAAGCAGGCTCAGCAGCAGGTATGTGAGAGGGAAGAAGGGGGTGCAGGAGAGGAGGTGGCAGTGGCAGTGAAGGGAAAACAAGGCTCAGCCATCCATGGACCCACTGCCCTTGTTCTTGCGGCTCAGGGGGAAAGCAGACTTGCTTTGTGGCTGTGTCATCTTACTGGCCAGGTAGATGAAGGGCTCGATCAGCGTGCGCCGATCGGCCACGGACACCTCCCACAGCTTCACCTTCTCGCCCTTGGCCCAGTGCTGGGCTGTGTCGTGGTCCACGCGGCGCTGTTCCTGCAGGTCACACTTGTTGCCCAGCACCACGATGGTGACCTGTTCAGAAAGGGTGAGAACAATCCCTGCAGATACCAAAGGCAGAGCTGAATGGTGCTGCCTGGCTCTGCCCTGGAGACCCTCGCTGCCGGGCACTGCAGTTAATCCCTGCTCCATGCCAACGTCCTTTCAACCACATTTCCCACCTGGCAGCCTCCCCTCCTGCTGGGGGCTGGGTGTCTCAAACCAGCAGGCCCTGTTGAGCGCTTGTACCCTCAGAAGCATCCCAGGCCAGCAGCCTGAGCCCAGGGACCCCGTCCCTGTGACAAGCAGGAGAGAGTCTGACACTGGGAAATAAAGGGTTAACATTGTGCCTGCTTGCTTAAGCAGTCGCTGTGCTTGGTGAAGCAGAACCGTAGGAGTCAAAGTTGCTAGAACGGTGAAGCAGAATTGCAGGAGTTAGAGCTGCTAGGCAGAATTGCAGTAGGTAAGATTCATAGCTTAATATTTAAGACATTCTTGTTCAAACAGTATCTTTAGAAAGAAAAGGAACAGAAGATAGCCAGAGTAACAAAATCTACAAACTTGACAAGTTTCTGCTTTAAGATACCTAAAACTGGCTTGTACCGAACCTGAGGTCTGCACAGGAGCCGAAACCCTATTGAGTCTGTGTGAAAGCAAGAGGTTGCTCGTGGTGATGAAGAGGAACTACAGGCCTTCATCCTCACGACCCCCTAACGACCACCACCGGGAGGCACTGCGCAGGCGCACCAATGGGACGAAAACCGATTATAATACTCGACGGGAATAGGTTTTGTGTATGTATGAGGCGTGAAGCGATCCCATGTTTAGGCGATCATTACATGGAATATAAACGAACTGAGCGGCACAGGAAGGGCGGGCACGGTTTTAGAGGGGCGATCCCCCATGCTCCTCAGCGCTGAGTAAAGCATCCCTACGTTACAACCCCAACGACCCACACTCCGCCCGCGTACCAAGGCCCTGGCGGCGGCAGCGAGCAAGGGCAGCCGCTGCCAGCCCGCAGCCCGCGGGGCGCTCACCTCTTTCTTGTCTTTGCACTTGTCGATCTCCTTCTTGAGCAGCTCCACCCGCTTGAAGGACTCCCTGCTGTCCGTGCTGTAGACCAGCACGTAGCCGTCCGTGCACGAGAAGCAGTGCTTGGGCAGCTCCAGCCCGTCCCGCAGGCCCCGCGTGTCATAGAAGCGGACCTGCTCCCGCACCCCGCGGTCCGTCTCGATGGAGCCCACGTAAATGTCCTCCTGCGTCTCGATCATCTCGGAGCCTTGCCGGGGAAAACGAGCGGCGGCCGTGGGGAGCGGCCCCGACCCCTCCCGGTGCCCCCCGCCCGGTCCGTCCCGCTCCCCGCGGACTCACCAACCACATGGTTCCCGTACAGGAGCTGCTCCAGGATGGAGGTTTTCCCCACCGACGCCTGCCCGCACACCACCACCTTGCAGCTCTTCCCCATGCCGCCTCCCCGCTGCTCCCGGGCCGGGCCGGGGCCTACGGGGCCGCCGTCGGTGAGGCGGCGGCGGCGGCGGAAGGGGCCCGGCGACACGGGGCGGGGCTACAGCGCGCCCCCTAGCGGCCGGGCGGACCCGCGCCGCCGCCCCGCGCCGCTGCCGTTGTGCGCCGAAACCCCGCCCCTTCCGGCGCAGCGCCCGCCCCCGCGCCGCCGCCAGTCGCAGCCCGGCCCGGCGGTAAGATGGCGGCGGTGGCCGAGTGCGATGTGATCATGGCGGCGCCCGAGGGACCCGGCGAGCCCGAGAGCGAGGAGGAGACCCGCAGGTAGAGCGGGGAGCCGCGGGGTCCGTGCTCCCGGTGCGGCTCAGGGGAGCCGGGGGGGGGAGCCCGGGCTGCGGGGAGCGGGTGAGGCCCGGGGCGGCGGTGCCCGGGGCCTGGGCGCGGGGGAGCCGTTCCCGCACGGGGCAGGGAGCGCGCCGGGTCCCTGCGGCCTCCTCCGCGGAGGGGGCAGCGCCAGCGGGGCTCGGGGCTGCGGCCGGTGCCTGCCCCGCGGGCCAAGGCCGCTCCCCGGGGCTCGCAGGGAAGCGGTGGCCGCTCCCGCCCGGGGCTGGGCCCCGCCGCGCGCTGCAGGGCGAGGGGTGGCTTTGGAGGGGGGGGGCTCGGCTGCGCCTCCCGTGTGCGGGCTCCCGGTGCCGGTGTGCGCCGGGGTTAGGACGGGTCCCTGTGCTGGAGCCGGAGCTCGGGGGTCCTGGAAGTGCAGCTGTGACATGTTCCTGTCGGGAGCCGCTCCGGAGGCAGCTTTGTCCCATTGCTGCGGAGGAGGGAAGCAGCTTCAAGCTCCTGCTCCATCACACCCGGTTCCCCTGTCCCTGGCACCATTTGGAATCCACACACGGCAGTTCTCACTCTCTCGCTGGGGGTAAGGAGGGGATCTCAGTTGCAGGTGACCGGGCAGAGCCCTGCTCTGAGCCCGTCACTACAATGCGAGTGCTTCTTCAGCGTGGCCTGGTGCCCCTTGCCCAGGGGAGCGGGCAGCGGGCGCTGAGCCCGGCGGTGCTGGGATCCCACCCTTCCCTCTGGAGCAAGGCAGCCGGTTCCCAGCAGTGTCGCAGCCTCCACAGGCAGCGATGGGGGGAAGGTCCATGCCTGGTTCTGCAGCATCTCGTGCAGGCAGTTGGTTATCTCCTGGGGAACTGGGGAGGAGAGAGCTATTTCTGTACAAAGGGAGGCCATTGCTCTAGAAAACGATCCGGCGGATGGAGTTGAAAGGATGAAACAAAACTGAAAGTGCCCTCTGAGGAGCAGTGTTTTCACAAGCATATTGGTGGCCTGAGGTTACTGTCAGCACTCGGAGCTGCTTCCCGGTGATGTCATTCTGAGGAGTTAAATTAGATGTTGCTGAAGAGGCACCTGGGTGTCGGACGTGGAACACGGACCAATTGCTGGGGCTGTAAAGCTGGGAAAGCCCTGGTGATGGGCAACTCATTCCTTGCCCTGGGCTATTTAAACCCAGCGTCTGGAATGGTAAAACCATCTTGGGTGTTTTTACTCCTGGGAGTGACCTCTAACGTTGCCCTTCCTTCCTTCCTCCTTCCCAAGCTCCACTGCAGAAGCGATGGGCACAGGAAACCCTTTGTGAGTGGGATGATCTTGGACCAGGCCAAGCAGGATTCATGGGCAGCGTTGGGTCCTTGCCCTGCTCTGAGGGAAGGTTCAGCTCTGAGGAGCACGGGCTCACACAGCTGGGCTTTTCTTGGCATCCTGAAGCTGGTGCTGTAGTTTGCGGTTGTTACCACGCAGTGCTTTAGTTAGGTGCCTTCACAGCATTTCCTCTGTTGTTGTTGGGATATTACTCCTTTATCTTGCTAAAAGAGAAACGCGTGGGTAGCAAATGAATATTCTACTTCCAGTTATTCCTTCTGGTGGCTCAGAAAGTGTAGGCCTTGCACAGCCAACCTTAAGGAAAGGACCTTAAGATCATCCAGTTCCAACGCCCTGCCACAGGCAGGGACACCTCACACCAGACCATGTCACCCGAGGCTCTGTCCAACCTGGCCTTGAGCAGTGCCAGGGATGGGGCACTCACTTACCACTTCCTTGGGTAACCTGTTCCAGGGCCTCAGCACCCTCACAGTAAAGAGCTTCTTCCTTGTATCTAATCTCAGTATCTCATCTCATGCCTTTCTGCCAGCCAGGGCAGGTCTTCTTGGGGTCCTGAGCATCAAACCTCACCTCCACTTTCATCCTTCCTGTCTTACATCAGTTTCTTAACTTCTGTGGCTCAACTGATCTCAAGTAAATGAGGGTGATACAGTCGCTGTACTAAGGAGAGTAGTTGGAGGCTTAATTAGGTGCCTGATGTCTATAAACCATCTTGAACAGGCTCTGCATTAAGGGGCATGCACAGACGCACACTGGAATCTGGTTTCATACAGCCTTTAGGATGTGCCTGGGCTATAAACCCCAGCAAAAAGAGGTGGAAACCTTTCCTGAATCATTGCTGCAAGTCAGCACCAAGGGCTCCTGTGCCCTGTGCTTTTGTTCAGGCGTTACAGTACATCCTGACACAGTTACTTCACTTGAGGCCTTTGTGTAAATGCACAGTTCCCTTCTCGGGGGGTTAATCCAAGTCACTAAGTTAGCCCAAGTGGAGAGCTCTCTTGCAGAGTGGTTGTAACTAGTGCCCTGCAGCAGCTGGACCGTGCCAGGCAGCTCACTCACAGGTTGGTTGAGGTACAGGAATAGCGTGTGGTCACAGGGTAACTGGTGGCTGCTGCTGGTACATTGTGGGGGTCCTTACGGGAAAGGGTTGATGTAACTGAGTTAATTTTATCTGCTGGGGAAGGGTGCTGTTAGTGCTGACGAGCGGGGCTGCTCCACCCCCAGAAAGTCACCTTGTTCAATGGATTGTAAAGGTTCTAACCCATGGGCACAGTTTTTCCCTGGGATGCTGGGGTTTTGCCAGGGAGAATTTCCTTGTCATCCTCCTGGCAGCGCCGGGTCCTGTCAGATGTGCGTGCTTAAGGCTGGCTCTTCTCGTCCCCAGCACTGGAGGATGCAGGAGAAATGCCTCCACTCACTTGGAAAATACCATTATGAAATGATCTGCCCAGACCGTTGCCTTCACGGTGCTGTAGCCGCAGCCTTCAGCTGTGTTGATGCCTCAGTAGGAAACCACAGGTACCTTTAGTAAAGCAATGAACGTGAAGTTTGCCACGCAGACTAAATGGTGCAGAAGCCAGGAAGGCTTTGAGGCTTTGGGTCACAGTCAGGTGGGCAGATGTTGGGGCTTATCAGGAGTCTTTCCAAGGCTATTTTGCATGAGAGGAGCTGCAGCCTGGCCCTGTCCTTACTCTGCGTTCACAGGGTGGCTTCAGGGCATTGCTGGTGGGGAAGGGTTGTTATGGGATAGCCCGGAGAAGGTTCCACTATTCCCATGCCACTTGTCAACAGGAACTTGAGTTTCCCAGGCTGTGAACCCAGCCTCTTTAACTAATATGTAATTACTTTATGATCTTATGATAATACAAGGAGCAGAAGCTGCACAGTCGTTGTTTGCGTGCCCGTGGATTTGCAGTGTCTGAATACTCTGCATTAGGTGGTTGCTTTATACGGTATGAAAAATTTACCCACAGTACCTACAATTCCAGCCTTTTCCTTTACCATGAGCCATGCTTTTTTAGGGTGAAGCGTGTTGTGGATGCAGTGGGTTTACCATCTACTCCTTACAGCTGACTGGCTTCCTTAATTTAGGTGCCTGTGGAAAACAGCAATCTCCAGCTGGTTCTAGACCCTTCCGTGGGGTTTCACAAATGCTCTGGAGTGCCCCTGCCAGCAGTGATGAGGCTGTGGCTGTGAATTAGGTTCATCCTGAGCGCTGGGATTCAAGTGGGTTGTGTGAAGCTGGGGGCTCCTCTGGCTCTTCTCACCGCCGCAGGCAGGGGTTTGCTTCATTCCTTCCATTTCTTGTGGCATGGTTTGGTTCTTGTGGCTTTTGGTCTTCCCTGTTTGAGTTTGTCCTCTGGTAGTGGGAGTGTTCTGGGGTGTGTGTAGAGAACAGGATGGGCTTTTAGACTCTCCATGCACATGTTAGCATGTACAGGCTGAAGGTTTCCCTGCCTGTGGGTAGACATCGGCATTTTCATTCCTCTGTTGCAGCCAGTGGTAAACCCACTCCTTGTGCAGTGGGGGGTGCTGATGTGCAGAGCAATCTGTGCTGTGCAGCAGCTTGGGCTCTGCTGCGCCAGGGTCAGCATCCTGCTGCTGTGCTGCAGAGGGTGCTCGCAGTGGAGGTTGTGTGTGATTTTGTGTTGGTTCTTGCACCAGAGGCAGAAAGCACAAACGCTGCTGATGGGAGATTCTGTCTGTCCATCTATCGATTTACATTCCCTTTGCTCTGAATCCTCACTTAAGAGTGTAAAGCCTAACCTGGAGGAACGGCCTTTAAAGCACAGAAGGAAGAACGTCCTGTGTGTATCCCTGTGGCCCCGTGTAGTGTTTGGCCCCTCTTCTGAGTCCTTCAGGAAGGGAGGGGAGGGGATCGTGTGTCCAGTGGCAAATCTGACAGCTAATTTTAAGCTTTAGACATCTGCCTGCTGTATTGAGATCATCAAACTTATTTTACCCCCAGCAGCTGAGGAACATCTGACAGCTGAGAATCTGGCCTGGATTCCAACCCCCAAAATGCTGGGTGAAAGCATCATATCCCATTCAAGCCTCTGAGAGAATCACTTAGAAAAAGCAGGTGTGTGCCTTTTGTCAGAGCATCCCCCAAAAGGATTGCTTGGCCAGGACAGGATTTTGAAGCCTTCCTTAAATCCTTGCTATTTTAGGGGGTTTTGTCACCGTTTCATAATGGAAGCAGGAAATGAAGTAGGAGTGAGGGTCGGGAGAGAGTAAGTCTGCCGCCTGCTTCAGCGCTGCGTTCCTGGGGCTGGGGGCACTGCTTCGAGCTTGTGCCTGTGCACACAGGCTCTGGGCCAGCACGTCCGGACCCGGGAGGTGTGTTAGTGCAGATCCCCCCCCGGTTCTGATGACAGCAATTGGGGTACGGCTGCGTGTGTGTCGCTGGGAGCTGGAGCAGCGCCGGAGCGGGGGCCGCGTGTGGAAGCTCTGAGGAGGAGGAGGCACAAGTAGGGAGGGAAACGTGGGATTGTGTCAGTGGTGCGCGGGATGGCTGCAGCTCCCAGCTCGGCTCTGCTGGGGCGAGCAGGGCCTGAGCTTGCAGCAGGGCACGGGGAGTAGAAGGAGCCTTGTGATGGTTCCTTCTCCCAGCAGGCAGGCAGCGAGCCCCTCCGCTGCGCCCTCCGGGGAGCACTGGGACCTGCAGTGGGTGCTCGGCTGGGCAGCAGCTCCTCAAGGTGGCAGGGGCTGGGGCACCTGAAGAATTAGGGGTCCTCACAAGTGTTCTAACAGAGGAGAAAACAATTGAGCAGCTCCCAGGGAGCAAAGTCCTGCAAACACTTCCCTCCTTGTGAGCCCGTGCTGCGCGCCAGCAGTGAAAGACCAGCTTCTTCCCGAGGTCCTTGGTGCAGCTCTTCCCTGTCTTCTGCGTCCAGCGTGGAGAAGCCCTGAGAAGACACTGAGGTCCCATCACAAAGCGATCCATTCAGCCTGGGGCCTATTTATAGCAAAGCACGATTCTTCCTCAGTTTCAAAAGTAGCAAGTGGGGAATGCAGCCTACATCAGTGTGAGATGCAGAATGATCTCATTCAGGCTGCAGCATCTGTTTGGATTGAAACAATTACCAGTGATATCAGGAGATCTGCATTTGCTGTTGTTGGAGCCAGGGGCCCTGGTAAACAAGAACTGTTTTCTCTGTGTGCTTTCTGTGTCAGTGGAGCACAAGTGGGGAGAGATGCTTCTGTTCTGGGTCTGGGACCTCAGGCCATAGCCTGGCTTTTCCAGCCACTGGCTTTGCCTCTGTGCTTTAAAGGCAATTAGCTTTTTCCTTCACAGCCGTGTGTCACCATTGAGCTTTCAGCCATGTGAGCAATAGAAATACCTGTGGACTTCCTTCCTCCTTGTGTTACCTGAGGCACTGTGACTTGTTGACACGTCAGTCTGTATTAAAAGGACAATAAACCAATAAAACTGACCAGAAAGCAATAATTCGTGTGTGTGTTTTCTCCAGCATCTCAGAACACCAGGGCTTTGTGAGAGCTGCTTTTCCATGTATCTGTTTGTTTCTCCCATTTTCCCAGCTCTTCCCAGCAGTCTGTTGGCAGACAGGATGCTCTGGCACCCAGCCCTTTAGCTCTCTCTATTAAATGATGCTTCCTCAGAGCATGACAGGTAAAATTGCTAAAAGGCTTGTGAATCAGGGGCTGCTGTGCTAAGCAGGTTGCAGATCGCTTCTGCCATCAGTACTGTTCACCATTCTGTGGATTACACAACGGAGAGCTTCTGAGGGAAGGGACTTTTAATAGGATCTGTGGTTTTTCCTTTCCATCTATGATTACAGAAACAAGAGAATAAAGTTCTCTTTCAAGCACTTCCTGCCAAGGCTCCGGAATTGCAGCGTTCCTGATCGGCACCCAGGCCTCAAACACCCCCAGCCACACGCTGTGGGCTCTCCCCTCTCTTTGGCAGAGCAGAGTTCCAGCAGGGCTGTGTCTGCTCCCTTGCTGGGCTGTAGCTGACAGCAAAGGCTCAAACTGAAGGTGAGGAGCAGGCACCCCTGTGTCCATTGTTCCCCCAGCTGGCAACGCCGCGCTGGCTCCCTCAAAACAACCCCGTGCACGAGGCAGTTGTGTGGGAACGGCCAATGGCAAGGCTGAGCGAGGTGAAAAACATCTGAACTGCTCTCAACACAACTCCCTTTGTTCTCTCTCTAGTGGGCTTGCTGAACATTGCTCCCCTTCAGCGGTGGGTGCCTCCTCCCCGCCGCAGCTTCTGCGCTGCCTGGTTGCGCGGGTGCTGCCGAGAGGGGACAAACAGGGGCTGTGTCCCGGCTGCAGCAGTGAGGTCCCAGCAGCACGATGCGAGTCTGGAGTGCTGTGTCTGGAGTGGGGTGCTGCTGCTTTTGGGTCGGCCTCGCAGGTTTTATGTGTTAAACAGTCCAGGGAGGGAAGCGAGCGAACTAAAGCACCGAGTTTAGTTCGGTGAGGCTGAGTTGAGCTACACCACCATGGTATAAGTGCCCTCTCGGACTGCTTCTCTATAAGGGTGAAGGTGAATGGAAGAGGAGCAGGAAGGGTTTAGTTTCCTTCAGGAGAAACTTTGCTTTTCAGGAGTTTAAGGGATGCTGCTTTAAACCATATGTTGTGTGTTTTTAAATGTCCTAAGCTGTCTCTGCAAATGCTCGCTCTTGAGTGCGAGGACTATTTCTGGACCTGTTGCCAAGGCAGTGCCAAGCTTCTGCTTGAGGCTGCACCCTTCTTTCTCTTTGATTTAGCTGTCTTTTGAATGTAGAAATTGTTCTTGGCCCTGTTTCTTAAGTATGTGGGACTACTGAAAGATAAACAGCGCTCTGTTCCTTGACTTCAGTGAGTGCTGAGCTTGTGCAGCACCTGACAGGAGCAGGCTGCTTTCATTAACCATGTACCGGGGAGTTTTGCTGGGCTCTTGGAAGCCAGTGCCCCTGTAGTATTAGCTGGGGTAACACCCCCGAGTATCCCTACTCATGGCCCTGGTGAAGTGAAGAAGGACCAGAGCCAGCTGGATGGCATGTGTGTGGTTTCTCAGGCACAGGGTTTACAGAGGAAACCTCACAGCAGCCAGCTACAAGCATTTTGAGCAAGGTTGCTGGGGGATCAAATGCTCAGTCGTGGTCAGAATCTGTCCTGGTGCTCAGTTCCTCCCCAAACGTGGTGTTCTGCTTCCTTTCAGAGAAGCAGAGTCATTCAAGGAGCAAGGAAACGCGTACTACGCCAAGAAGGATTACAACGAAGCATACAACTATTACACGAAAGCCATAGGTGAGAAGAGTTGGGAATAGAAACCTTTGCTGAATACCACGTCTGAAACTCAAAGCTGGTTATTGATTGCAGACATAGCAGCAGGGTTTCTCACAGCACGTGCTGGGTGCAGACTCCTTGCCTGGGCAGTTTCACCAGGTGGGGAGTGCAGGTCGGTGCCAGCATGGGTGACTGCAGCAGTTCTTTGTCTCTCCTTTCAGCTAGCATGAAACCAGCCCAGCTTTCCCCCTAACTCAGGGTGAGCAGTGCTGCCAGGCTGAACACCACACGCTTTTGTCCTGTGTGTAGTGTGGGGAGCAATAGTTTTACGCCTTGCTGCTCCTAACAACTGCTGGACCACCATGGGTCATCTTAAGCCACTCTGGTGGTGTTTTAAAACAGGGAGGGTTGGGTGAGTTTTTAATCCAACCAGGGCTTTTTAAGATGTTCTACAAGTTGTATAGCTGCTTGCATGACAGTAACAGCGAGTGCTTTTACACCTCCTCCAGATACCTGTCCTAATAATGCCAGTTATTATGGTAACAGAGCTGCCACACTCATGATGCTGGGGCGATTCCGAGAAGCACTGGGAGATGCTCAGCAGTCTGTCAGACTGGATGATAGCTTTGTAAGGGTACGTGGAGAACGTCAGGCTTCTTACTCATGTCTCAATACCCTTGTCCCCACCTATTGCAACTCCCTTTTAACTCTCCTCAGGGCCATCTACGGGAAGGGAAGTGCCATCTTTCCCTAGGGAATGCCATGGCTGCCAGCCGCTGCTTTCAACGAGTTTTAGAACTGGATCATAAGAATTCCCAGGCGCAGCAGGAGGTGAGAGGTCCTTAAGGTTTAACTCTTCCCAGTCAATGGGGCAGTCAGAGGGAATGGATTGAACTGGTCAGCCTTTCGTTTCCAGTATGCAAGGTGCAGTCACAGCACTGGGAGCTGCTCTAAGGTCTCCCCTTAAGGAGCCTTCTCCAGGCTGACCCAGCCCAGCTCTCTCAGCCTGCTCCAGCCCTTGCAGCATCTTCCTGGCCTCCTCTGGTCTCACTCCAGCAGCTCCACATCCTTATGTTGGGGGCTTGTGATAGAAGGCTGCTGCCATTTCTGTATCTCATTCACAGGGGTACATTTTCCTAGGCTACCGGTTAGGTCACTTGATTTCAAACTGATTTTAATGTTGGCAGAAGTATTCCCATAAATCTGTGTTATTGTTCCGTGGTCTGCAGTACTTTCTGCTCTGATGGTTTAGGGGTTGTGCTTAATGGTCACTGCTTAAATGCTGCTTGATGGCGTTTCGGAGCAGTGCCTGTCCTGCAACACTTGCTGTGTTCTCCTGTGTTTCAGCTGAAGAATGCCACTACTGTGCTGGAGTATGAGAAAATAGCTGAGGTGGACTTTGAGAAACGGGATTTCAGGAAGGTGAGGTTAACTCCATTGTTTCTGTGTCTTATCTGTCCGGTTCAGGCACATGCATGTCTGATTTCCCTGCCTAGCATTAGCTGGGCCCTCCTGGGAGGTGCTGTACAACATCTGCTGTTGAAGCAGGGCTGTCTTGTGGGCTGTGTCATAGCTCTGAAAATGGCTCTGTTACTGTTTGCTTTGCAGGGTGAGTGGAGCCACAAATGAGCTGTTTATAGAATCATAGAATCACAAACTGGTTTGGGTTGGAAAGGAAATTAGGATCATCAAGTTCCAACCCCCTGCCATTGGCAGGGACACCTCACCCTAGACCATGTCACCCAGGGCTCTGTCCAACGTGGCCTTGACCCCTGCCAGCAACAGAGCATTCACAACTTCCCTGGGCAGCCCATTCCAGTGCCTCAGCACCCTCACAGTAGAGAACTTCCTTGTATCTAACCTGAAGTTCCCCTATTCCAGTTTGAACCCATCATCCCTTGTCCTATTGCTCCAGTCCCTGATGAAGATTCCCTCCCCAGCATCCTTGTAGGCCTCTTACAGGGGCTCCTGATACAGGTGTTGTCAGCAGCAGCATTTGATTGCGCTTTGTTCCTAAGGTGCATGTCCAAGATTCTTCTTTCTCAACTCTTTAACTGAAGCACAAACCCAAGGCTGTTGTGTGGCAGTGTTCTAGGGAGGGTCACTAAGGAGGAATGCACATCTGCCTGGGGCATTCTCACTGCTGCTTCCAAATCTTTCTTGCCAGAGCCTGCAACAGGATGCACTGGTACTCACCTGATACAGTAAGAAATGACAGCACGAAATCTGAAAGGCACCAAACTGACTTCTTGAGCAACTGTTTCTGTTCAGTGGATGCATACAAGGTCCAAGTTTGGCCCAGAAAGGAGACTGTCAGGCACATTAAGCTCACAGTTCAGGTCACTGACTCTTAGGCTAAGCTCTCAAGATTGTGGAAGGGTCAATCCCACCTTTGTATCACCTGGTTATGAGGCACAGATCGGACGTAGGGTCAGCCTGAACTTGATGTGTAGGGGTTGCCCTGCCTGGGTTGCATATTCTGGGCTTTTGCATCTGTCCCTTCACCTCTCCTGTGTCCCTTCAGTGGGGAGGCCTGCATGAAATGTCAGCTTTGTTTCTGGAGAGCCCGCTCCTGCTCCTTCCTCACCCAGAAGGCGCAGTCTGGAGCACAGTGCTTCCCAGAGCTGGCACCCGTGATGTCACGGGCCGGGCAAGCAGATGAACCTTGCTGGAACAATGACCCTCTTCTCGTGCAGATGTCCCCACCAGCGAGGCAGGGATGGAAAAGACCCATTAGATCACCCTGCCCGTTGCAGGCAGAGCAGTGAAGATCAGGCCCTGCACTGTACTTTGTGTTTTGTCCAGCCCAAAGTCTCTCCATCTATTGCATTTGTGTCCTTCCCAAGTGTCTTTATGATGCAGGAGACAGGGGCAGAATTGTCTGCCTTGGCTGCTCCCATCGGACCTGCAGTTTCAGAAGAGTTAAAGGGATGGATCTTCTACAGGTGTCCATTGCATCTTTGTAGTGCTCTGTGTCAGTAACGTAGGTGCCCCGGACCTTTGCACCCAAAGCCCTTTAAAAGGTAAAACACCTGCATGTGAGTCTCCAGCAGCAGAAGAAAGGGACGTTTGCACGCTTCCCTTCCTGGGCAGAGGCAAACATGAAATCCCAGTGGTGGTGATGGTGCAGCCTTTCCAGTTAGGCTTTGGGCTGTGTGCTTTGCTCACGTTTGTGTGTCTTTTTCCCCCCACCAGGTTGTGTTCTGCATGGATCGTGCTTTGGAGTTTGCTCCTGCTTGTCACCGGTTCAAAATCCTCAAGGCTGAGTGTTTAGCATTACTGGGTCGCTACCCAGAGGCACAGTCTGTAGCAAGGTGAGTGTTGGAGTTACAGCTGGTGGTGAGTCCTGACTGCAGCCTGAAATGAATGAGGCAATATGGAAACAGAGTCCTTAATGCAAATTGTGCTGAGGAAGAAGAGAGCATGGGTTTATGCTCTTCAGAGCTCATCTTACCTGCATTTAGACTCTTAATAACCAGCAGTCTTGCTTGAGCCAGACTTCCTGCACATCTCTCCCACTGACTTGCTAAAATAACTGAATACCTCAGTGGAAGAGGAGCGCTTTTGGAGGGCAGCAGGAAACTGGAATAGGGAAACATTTCACTTTTCCATGTGTCTGTTGCAGTGACATCTTACGGATGGACTCGACGAACGCGGACGCTCTCTATGTGCGGGGCCTGTGCCTGTATTATGAGGACTGTATTGAGAAGGCAGTGCAGTTCTTTGTCCAGGCTCTCCGAATGGCTCCTGACCACGAGAAAGCATGTCTTGCCTGCCGTGTGAGTCTTGGCCACTGGGGATGGGGCTGCAGAATTACCAGGGGTTTCTTTTTTCTCACCCTAACACCTCATTTGGTTCTGCTGGATCAATCCCTTCTCCCTCCCTCAACATTATCATTCCCCAGAGCTCCAGTAGCAAGTAACGTGTCCTTCCCAAAGCCAAGCAGCTGCTGCTTTAGGTAAAGCTGAGTTGCTAGAAGCTCTTTCTCAGAAGACTCTTGACACTTTGAAGGCTGCCTCCCTTTCACTCTTTGTTCCTCGATCACATAGAGCAACAGTAAAACTCACTGTATTCTAGAAGAACTTGGTGCCCACAGGTTGACTTCTGTTTAAACACTGCTCCTTTCACATTGCTCCTCTGTTGTAGCTCTTTGACTAAATCTGAGGTCCCTCCCGTTCTTTCTTTCCTTTTTTAATCCATAAATTTACTTCATTGTCACGTTCTCATCTTAAAAATGAGGCAGCCTTTGAGAGCGCCTGTGACTGGCACTGACTGTTCCATAGCACTTCTCCTGGAGGGAAAGGCAGAACACTTGCAGCTTGTCAAGCTGCTGTAGCAAGGCTGAGACCTTGTATCCTGCAGTGGTGCCTGAAACCAAATTAAAACCACTATATTCTGAGGACCCTCACCCAGCAAAATGAGGTGCTCGGTCCCCCCCGAGCCGGTTTCCCAGTGTCCTTAACCAGGGTGTGTTTCCTTTCAGAATGCCAAAGCACTTAAAGCGAAGAAAGAAGATGGGAATAAAGCATTCAAAGATGGAAACTACAAACTAGCATATGAACTGTACACAGAGGCACTAGGGATAGACCCCAACAATATAAAAACCAATGCCAAACTGTACTGCAACCGGGGGACGGTTAATTCAAAGGTAAGCAGCTGGCAGGGCTCTCATCGTGTTCCCTGCCATGCGATGCATGAGTTGCAGAGCAGTTCCTGTGGAAAGCATGGGCTTCTCTGGCTGCTGGGCAGCGGGACCTTTCTGGTGCTGTGGGCAGTGCTTTAGGTTTTTGTGCTTGCACAATGACTGGGTCTGTTCCAAACAGCCAACGGAGCTGACTCCCAAAGAAACAAAACTCGAATAGTTGGGATGCACAGAGTGGGAGGGAGAGGAGGGACATAGTTTAGCCTTATCTTTATCAGCAGAAAGGATCCCTATTTGTTTCCTTGCCAGTAATGAGGAGGTAGCTCCTTTGTTTTTCTTACCCTTGTAGGTCATGCTGTCTTTCTTGGGGTTTTGCTCTAAACCACTGTGACCCAATTTAAAAACCCTGGGCACTTCTTTTTCCCCAGGTTTGCTGCTGCATTTTAGCTCTGCACTGTCCAGTGAAGCAGTCAGACACTTGATAATGCTTCCAGTTCCCCCCCTAGCATTTCTCTAGGCACGTTTCTTCCTCAGCTGTCTCTTGTGTCAGTGCCTGCTCTACCCAGGAGGCTTTTCAACACCCCAGCTGGGTCAGGAGAGACTGAGGCTGATCTCCAAACGTGGGGAGTGGGATGAGCTGGAGGCAGAAGGAATGGCTCCTTTGCATGGCTGTGCCTGAAAGCAAAGAGTGCTTTAACCAGAAATCCTTGAAATGTTTTCAAGTTTCTTTTCCTGTCTGGGAATCAGTTTGGACACAGAAGCAGTTGGTTTGGGATCGTTGTCAGGAAGACCCAAAGCACCCCATAATTCCACCATTGCATTAGCTAAGCTTCTAATCTTTCCCTAGGGAACAAAGCTCTGTGTTCTGGGGGGGTGGGAAAAATTTCCTCAATGCAGACACACAGGGGAGTGAGGTTTTCCAAGCTTCTTTACACCTTTCATTTGCCTGAAGTCATGATGCTGTTCAGCAGGCTTGGTTCTGGTTGGGATTCACTGAACTTCTGTCTGACATTGTAGCTTAGGAAACTTGAAGAAGCAATAGATGACTGCACGAATGCAGTGAAACTGGATGACACGTATATCAAAGCATACTTGAGGAGAGCACAATGGTAAGTAGAGCTTTGTGATGGACATGCTGAGCATGTCTGTGGGTAGGGAGCTCCTCCCCACAGCCCTGAGTGACAGGGGTAACAAATCTGAAGCTTAACTGGATAAAAGGTTCTGTCTTAAGGGGTATTGAATTTATTCCCCTTCCTTCTGCTGGCAGGGGAAGCCCTGTGTAGCCTGTTCTGCCACTGCCTATTGATTGCTGTGTTTAGGCAGGATTAGTTCTAAAGCCTGACTTGCTGTGTTTATAGACTAACATAAGACGTTCAGTCCCAGAGAGCCCGTTTGAGAAGGGCAGAGCTGCTCACCACTTCCCACAAAGCACGGTCTGAAATGGGATGCCCAGGAGAAATCAGCTGGGACTGTGCAGGGTCCAGCCCTAGATAATACTGCAGTGTCATGCAGTGGGGCTGAGGGGGTTGTACAGAGGCAATTCAGGTCTGTGTGTCTCCCTTTGTAACTTGGCACCAGGCAGGGAAGCAGCCAGAGCTCTGTTCTGACTCTGGGTGTATTTGCTGCTTTCCTCATCACCCATTATTTCTCACTTTGTGGTGTGAAGCTGCCTGCCTTGTAAATGAACTGAAACTGCTGCTGCAGCCTTCCAGTTGTGCATTCGTTTTAGTGTACAACCCCAAGCTCCATTTCAGTAGCTGATAAATGACAGTAAGTGGTTAATATGTGAGTAAGGCTGCAGTGCCAACAGACAGGCGCCCATCCCTCTGAGGTGCCAAGACTCTCGCTTCCAACCAGCGCTGCTGCTGTACAGCTCTGCCCCAGCTCCCTTGGAATCTTGCTGGCTGCTTTCAGTTCCTGCAGCTGGGTCAAGTGATGGTCAGATTGGTACAGCAGAACCTGTGCTGCCAACTGAGCCTGCAGGTTCTGCTTGGAGCCCAAGCTACAGGTTCCTGTGCCAGGGTTGCCCACTAATAGCAAGTGTCTGGGCTTCCAGGCAGTTGAGCAGTGACCCCCTGGGGGTTCCTCTGATGCTTGCTCTTCCTGCAGCCCAGTGCACATCTTTTCCTTAATTCATATCCAGCCAGAAAGCTTGTACCTGACCCCCCTTTTGATACTCCCTGGGAAGTACACCTTGGCCACCTGTGTTTCTTTCCACAGTTACATGGACACAGAACAATACGAAGATGCTGTAAGAGACTATGAAAAGGTTTATCAGACAGAAAAAACAAAAGGTGAGTGTGTTGGCATTCTTCCTGTGAGCATAAGTTTCCCTTATCTGCCTTTTTTTGTTGGTGGTGCTTTTGTCTGCCTTTTTTCCCTACATGATACTCCGATTTGCAGCCTCTGGCCCCAGCAGGACACTGCTGGAGGAGCTCTCAGAAGCCCTCTGAAATGCCTGGTTCACAACCTGCTTTCTCTTCCAGTCTGAAGATAATTTGCCCTGTAGCTGAAGCAGTGCCCCACATTCACAATATCTCTTGCGGTTCTTGTTCTCAACTGTCACCTTGCTTTTTGAGTAGCCTGAAATGATGCAGACAGAGTAACCTTCGTGCTGGTGGTTGTGTCTAGGACTCATTTAATAGCACAGAGACATTTCCCTGCAGTTGGAAACAGCCTTCAGTGGACAGTGAAGCTTTAATCAGATTCATGACTAATTCCAGGTGGGCTGCTTACTTGGGGCACTTGAATCCTTCAGCCCAGCTCGCCTCAACACGTTGATCTTCAGCCTCTTTTAAAGCAGGAGATTGTTCTCACCACTGAAGTGGCTTTCCTTTGCCATTGTGCTTCCTTCTAGAACACAAGCAGCTTCTAAAGAACGCACAGGTGGAACTGAAGAAGAGCAAACGGAAAGACTACTACAAAATCCTTGGGGTGGACAAAAATGCTTCTGAGGATGAGATCAAGAAGGCTTACAGGAAAAGAGCACTAATGCATCATCCAGGTATCCACAAACAGCCTGTTCTTGGTGCTTTGATCCCTTGCTCCCTGCATGTGCCCTGCACAGCTATCGCTCAGAGGCAGGAATAAATAGGAGAGAGGGGATTTCTGGACAGCTAGGAGTTCTGATCCCACAGCTCTGAAGTACACGTGGCATGGCTGGGAATGTGCAGTGGTTTCCATTCACACTCGAAACTAAAAGCTGCTTTCCTGCTTGCTTTTGTATCCTTAGACCGGCACAGTGGGGCAAGTGCAGAAGTACAGAAGGAAGAGGAGAAGAAATTTAAGGAGGTTGGAGAAGCCTTTACCATCCTGTCAGATCCCAAGAAGAAGGCTCGCTATGACAGCGGCCAGGATCTAGAAGAGGATGGATTGAACATGGGAGGTAGGTGTTCCTTACGCTGTTCTACCACGGCAGCCTTTAGAAAGATGGGAGCATTTGGACTCTGCCTTCTCCCATAAAGCAAATCTCCCAGTTGTAATAACTATGAAGTGGCTCTTAAAAAGCATCTGAATGGCAGATCTGCTCCGAGTGCCTGTTTTCTACTAGTCAGTGCTCAGCGCAGGCTGCTTGGTTTTACCTTTCTGTCTGTAGCATGCTTTGTGGGCCCTCAGTGAAGGGGTGGTTTGTGTGCCATGAAAAGCTGTAGCGGGCTGTTTCACTTCTGCTTATAACTTCCTTTTCTTCCCCGTAGACTTTGATGCAAATAACATCTTCAAGGCCTTCTTCGGTGGGCCAGGTGGCTTCAGTTTTGAAGGTAGGTGGAAGCGTTCTCAGCTACGGACACGTGAGTACGCGGATGGCTTGACGGGACGGCTGAGTTTCCCCGTGCTGTTTGGAAAGAGTATGTGCCTTTTCCACCTGAAAAAGTACCTAAGAGCTAATATCTTCAATTTTCCTTTTCAGCTTCTGGGCCTGGAAATTTCTTTTTCCAATTTGGCTAAAAAACCGCCCCCAAACCAAACCACACATACCTGATCTGCTTCTTTTACCCTTGAACACGGACATACTTAGACTCCTTTCCTTCATCATGTCTCATTGTACTTAGAGCAGTTTCATTTTCTCGGTTGGAGACCTCTGTTTTGTGTGCTTTTGTGTGAAGAGGAAACCAGCTCGGGGAGGGGAAGGCTTGTGACTTGTTTTACTGTTAACTTTATTAAAAAAGAGAAAGAAAAATAAAGCTTTGAATCTCTTGGTCCCTCCACGCTGGCCCCTACTTTTGGACTGTTCCTGCTCCTTAGGAGCAGAGGATTTCCCCGAAGTCCTCCTGGAATCTTGTAAGAGACTGAAGAAAGCTCCTGTTTCATTTCGGTTGGCTCTGAAGCACAGGATGGCAGCATGGCCAGGGGCTGTAGTAACATGTAAAGTTCTCTTAATCTCCTGAAGATATTGCCAAGATTCAGTCGAGTTTCATACCATCGCCGTTTCCCTGTCCTTTCCCTTTGTTTTGGGGTTTTTTTGCCATGTTTCAATGAGAGCGGTACACTGGGGCATTAACTGGAATGCTAACGTGTGAGCTGAATGGTTTTGTATCTGAGAAATGCTTCTTTGGATTGAAAAGAGCAGCTTATGTGAGAATTGCCTGTGATGCAGCTAGAATGAAGGGCTTTGTGTTTCCACTCTCACGAGTTGTCCTGTTCAAGGGGACGTCGAATTTGGGCTGAATTTCTGTACTTTTTATTTCATGTTATTCTTTTTCTCATTAATCCACTTGAACTTTTGATATCTGTGCTGAAACTTGATTTGATGGAGCTTGAGGGTTGATTTCATGGTACTGATCTGCTCTCCCGGAGTGCAAAGTCCCATTCGGGTTCCTGATTGCGGGCGGTTACCGCGCGCGCGCAGCAGCGTGCCCTCCTCCTGTTTACAGGCACGGTACAAATACCTTCAACCAGGCAAGTAGTTTGCAGCTGGGAGTCATTTACTAGCCCAAAGAAGCAGGAAAATGCAGGGTCAGACTCTCCAGGCTGCTGCTTGCGTCCCTTGCACAGCACTGGGACAGGGCCGGAGCCGCGCGCCTGCTCCGCTTGAGCTGGGAATGGGGTTGGTTTGGTGCTGCTGCCAGTGGAGCCAACGCTGGTTTCTTCCCTGCTGGAGAGGTTACAGTGGGATCAGCCAGGAGAGGAGTCTGCTTCCAGAAGCCTTCCCTTGCCTCTAGTGCATGAAGAGCCTTTGTGGGTTGGTGCTTTGCTCAAGCATGGTGCTGGCTGCAGAGTGGTTCTGGAGCGCAGAGCAGGGCTGTGGCTGACCAAGCTCTGGGCTGGCTTGCTCCGAAGTGGGGTTTGAGAGGAGAAATGTGTTGGTAACACCAGTGAGAAGGGCCGAGCATCGGCGGCGTTGTTGTGTTTAGGGTGCTTGAACCAGCCTGCGGTAGCACGTGGAGCGTGGGATGTTGTGTGGCTGAGGAAAGGGGTGTTCACAAATACCTGATTTCACTTCTTACTGCAGGAACAGCAATTGCAACGAGCTCATTGCCTGAAACGATCACTTTGAATGCTGCCATCTTTGTCTTCCTCCCTCTCGAGGGCTGCACTCCTCCTAGTCAGTGGCAGTTGCTAGGCTGCAGTGCGAGTTCTCTTTGCTTCCAACAGTGGCAATAGTGTGGTGGTGCTGCCGGCGCCACCTCCTGCGGTCCTGTGCTGGTGTTGGGTCAGACCTCTTGACAATCTGCTTTCATAGAGGGAAGATTTAAGGGCTTCAATTCTAGTACTGCAGAATAAAGCGAGTATTTTATAACTCACTCAAAAGTCAGCTTTTAACGGAGCTGATGTTGTGTAGTGTTTCCAAAACCAGACTCTCCGGTGTCTCTTGTGACTTCCTTCACACCAGTGTAAGGTGATGGACTGATCCGGATTGCACTGAGAGCAAAATAAGGTCCTGGCATCTCAGACTCTGCAAGGGTAACGATCTGGGGAACTGAAATCCCGGTCTATGCATATTGATGCTTCTCCAGTCCTCACGGCACTTGTCACTCAGAGTTTACGGGACTTATTTTAGTGGCAGTCTGGGTTCATGGTGTCTTGTCCTGTGTGCATTGATGTTACTGTACAGCTGGGGCTTCTCTCACCATGCACTCATGTGTCCTGCGCTTGTCAGTGGGTTTTACTCTTATCCTCCCTCCCCTTGGTGATGCCAGGCTTCCTCCTGCCCTCCAAACGCTGACCGAGGCCGTTCCTTGGCGGAGCGGAGCGGAAGGGTTCTCTGTATACAGCAGATCTTTCTCACTGTACAGGAATGCATGATTTAATGTATTAAATATCCCTATGGTGAGTGCCAAGACTTTTCTAAGGAGCATCACTACATGTGTCACAGTGAGGGTGGTCGCTGCCCCTCTCGCCTCGGGACGGTGGCCTGGAGGGGTCGGTGCCGTGGCTTTGGGGCCCGGCTGGGCCACCGGAGCTGTTGCCTTTCACCCTTGGGAGCTGTGCTGTTCCTCAGGGGTTGTGTTTTGTGGGAGCCTTCGTGCTGTTGTTTTAGCTGCTCGCAGACCTGCCTGGCCTCGCTTGGCGCGATGGGAGCTGCCACGGAGATCACTGAACAGAGGGATCATCCTCAAGTGATGCTCGGCCCCTGCCGCTTCGAGAGCGATCAGGAGCTCATGAGAGGGGTAGGAGGCGTTGCTGTAGGTGGTACCCTTGAGGCACAAGCGCAGCGGGATGCGTTTAGAAGCACTGCTCCTTTTGGGATGGTGAGAGCTTAGCCAGGGGAAGAAACCGATGGCAAAGCCCTGCCCTTCAGTGGGAAGGGTTTCCCTGTAGTTCCTGGAAGGTTTCTTTCTTGGTGCAATGGCAGAGCCTCAATGGTTAGCCCTGAACGATGGTTAGCCCTGAACGATGGTTAGCCCTGAACGATGGTTAGCCCTGAACGATGGTTAGCCCTGAACGATGGTTAGCCCAAATGGGCCTGTTCCCTGGCGAGCAGCCCGGAGCGCCGACACCAAGCGGCTTTAGCTCCGTGTTGGCCCTTTGGCCACCAGCTCCTGGCCGGTGCCAGAGCCCAAGCAGTTGTAAACTGCAGGAGAAACGTGTGTGTGAGCAGCAGGGCTCTTGGCAGCCCCGGCGTGAAGGCAGGAGGCTCTGTTCTTGTGGCTCTCTAGCGTTTACCAGCGCCCTTGCGCTTTCCCTGCCGTGGTGTTTCGCCTGCTCGTGGTGCCGGAGCTGCTGTAGGGGTGGTTTCAAAGGGTGAAATGCAGTCAAAGGTGGAAGTGATTTCTTGCTTTAAACACAAAAACGTGCATCAGCAGTGTCCGTGTGGGAGGTGCTTGCACGTGCGATGGTCAGGCTCCAGAGCACAAGGCCTGGTGTGGTTTTCCTTGGGTGGCTTTACAAACCCGGTGCTGTTTTAGCATCTCTCAGAGTACTGGGAGCCCTGGCCAGGTACTCTGAACCTGGACTTGAATCAGCTATAACGGCTGAGATGCTTCTGGCTGCCTGCCTGAGCAGGGTTAGGGTCGTTGTGGTTTCGACCACATACTAGGCTACATAGGAAGGTCCGTGGCGTTGTCTGTGAGCTTTGAGGTGTTGCTCTAAAGCTGGATCCGCAGTGCTAAAGCTGTGCTACTGTTCTGTAAATGCAAGTTAAAAGGCAAAAGAGATGATAAGGAATGTTTGGGGACGACAGCGGTGTTGTCCATGGGATGCTGCGAGTCCCTTGGCTTTCTGTATCTGAAGGGATACAGAGGGAAGCTGCTGTGCTCTGGTTTCGTTTCCAACATGGAAACAGGCTGCGCACTGCCCAAGCTGAGCGACCAAAGCATGGACCACACCGTGCTTGGCTCTGCTTCCAAAATCCCTCTCTCTGTCAGTGAGAGGGTCACTTACCTTCAAGTGGATGGTCTCCATCCCCGTTCAATTTGTGCCTTGTACCCTCCCTGCCCCTTCCCTAGGGCACGGGCACCTCCGGTGTCTCGCTTGCCCAGGGCTCTGGGAGCAGCGCTGGGGTCCGGTGTGGCTGCTGCAGCCGTTCTGTGACCCCTGGGCTGGAGGCTGCTCCCGTGCTGGAGCCATCCCCGTGTGGGAAGATGCTGCGGGGCTGCCGTGGCCTCGTGGCCGGGTCAGGGCCAGGATTATCCTTTCCCCTTTGAGCTGTGCGAGCCAAGGCTCCAGAGGAGGATCACGGGAAGCACCGCTGGAGGGATGGAGCGCGAGCCAGTGACCGAGCACCTCGCTGCATGCGGATCCGCTTTGTTGTAACGGCTTAAGGACCAGGCAGGACTTGGAGCAGCCACCGATGCGAAGCCGCCTTGGAGAGGACGCTGGCCCCTGCTGCAGTATTTATCTGACCCCAAATCCTGAATGTTTACCTCAGTGTAAATACCTTCACCTTTCCCACGGGAGGAAAGGGAATTATTGCATGGAGCAACCGCTGTCCCCATCGCTTTGCCAACCGCATCGGCCTCTCCAAGCCGGGCTTCGCAGCGGGGCGGGCGCTGTCCCTCCGGCCCCCCACCTTTCTAGGATGTGAATGGTGAACCAATGTGAATGTGTGTTGTTTCCTTCATTAGGCCTAATTCATAATGACGTGTTTCTATGAAGAATGTCGCAGCCTGAAGCAGAACCATATGCAATCGGTTTACTTTATTATAAACTGTATATGATGTACAAACTAATAAAACCTGAACTGACGACGGGCGCGCTGTTGTTCTTGGACAGGCAAAGACAGGAGATGCCCCAGCTGTGCACAGTGGTGCTGGGCCCTGGGGAGGAGAGGGGTCAGCGTGCCCCCCGCGCTGGGAAAGGCCTTCATCACGTTGAGATGGAACAGACCCACGGGGGATTCCCGGTGGGAAGGCCCGAAGCTGGCCATAGGGCAGGGTGTCCCTGCTGAAGGCAGGGGAGGAGGGCGGGCGCTGGGGGGTGTTTCTGTGCCCTCGGTTTCTGTGACGATGGGAATTTCTCCTCCTCCCTCTTTTTGAAGCAGCAGGAACGGGTTGGCTTTCCTGGGCAAGCGGCCGAGCGTTGCTTGCTCCGTGTTGAGCCTTCAGAGGAGAAACCCCTCCTGCTTCCCAAGGAACGGCCTCGGCGCGCCCCACGCTGCAGCCCCACGCTGCAGCCCCACGCCGGCTCCTCCCCGGCCCAGCACGCGCTTGTCAAACCCGGTGAGTATTTACATGTGTTAACAGAGGGTTAATTCCAGTACCCACTTCACGGAGCCATAGTGTGAGTTTAAACCGGTGGCCTGACCCGCGTGCGTTAGTCGAGCTCT